CGGGGTCGGGGCTGGTGTTCAGGGGTCCCTTGGGCAGGCCCACGGGCGACCTCGCGCTACACAGAACCGACCTGGGCCTCTTAGAGCCTGGGGTTGGGAGGCTGGAGGCGACTCTGACGCTTGGCCGGTCACTCCTGCTACAATTGGGAGGGCTCTGGGGTCAGGACAGCGGTCCCCTGAGACAGGCAGGGGCGACAGGCAGGGTGGGCATGGCCAGGTGGGTGGGAGGGTTGTGGGTCCCCGACAGCCGCAGGCCGCGCCCAGGCAAGGACGTGGGCAACCTGGGGGCAGGCGGGCCCGGATGGACATACATGGGGCCGGTTTTCCCATCCACCCAGCCTGGCCGGGAATTGACCCTGGGGCTGTGGGCAGTGCCCCTCACCTGCCCATGTCGAGGCATGTCCCATGCCTCTGCGCTGGGGAAGGCCCTGGAGGTCGCTCTGCCTCAGGCGTGGCCGGGCCGCAGTGCCCTGGGGGAGGACAGGGCCGGGCGCAGGGCAGGCTGTGCTGCTGGAACAGTGAGCCGGGGCCAGCGCCTCCCACTGAGGACTTCGGGCTGGGGCAGCCCACAGAGAGCGTCACACGCGGTCCATCTCTGCACCCCGAAGCGCAGGGGACACTGAGTGAGAGGGGTGCGGCCAAGTGAGCGTCCCTGGCGCTCCGTGCTGCAGCCCCAACTCGGGCCGCCGCCTCCTGGGGGCAGCTCTCTGCAGGAGCGTGCAGGGAGCTGGCCCGGCCCCTGCCGCTGGCTCCTCTGCCCTTCTGCCCCTGCGGGCCGGCAGCCCCTGGGTGGGCAGCGTAGCCTGTCCCCTCCCCTCCGGCTGCCATCTCCCGGGACACTGGCCCGCTCCTGTCCGGGGGCTGACTCACTGGTGGCCGCTGCTTTCAGGGAAGACATGTGAGTCTCCGGTGGACCACTGTGCGTGTGACCCCTGCTTCCACGGGGGCTCCTGCCGCAGCGGCGTGGACACCTACTACTGCCTCTGCCCCTTCGGTGAGTGGGCCTACGGGCGGGGCGCCCAGAGCGGGGCCAGGGTCTGTGGGCAGCGCCCTGGCTGGCGTTCCCGCCCCGCGGCCCCAGTGCCGCCTGCCCAGGCCCTGGAGGCCTCTCCTTGGGCAGCGCCCAGCGGCAGGCCCAGCTGGGTCCTGTCCCAGGAGCCGGAGGTAAGCGCAGAGGGGAGCCGCCGGTCAGCGAGGCCGCGGGTCAGGAGGCTGCCACTCATCTCACAGGGGCTCTCCAGTGCGAGGGCCTGTGACGGCCACGGGGCGTGGCCCTGTGTCTGGAGCCGCACTTGGCCCGGAGGGATGGCCGGGAGCCCTCCAGGGCCCCGCTGCAGGCACGTGTCGGGGGCCTCCGGCTATCCACACACCTGCGCTCGCTTGGACGCCGGAGCGGGCCTGGGTGCGGCAGAGTAGGGCCCCCCCAGAAGCTCACGTCGCGTGACGCCTCAGTTTTGCCTTTCTCCAGCCGTGGTCACCCTTGTGCAGGTGGCCTCTCGCAGCGCCACGGACGGTGCAGTAGATACCTCAGGTCATGCTGTCCCAGGGGCACGGGTGGCCAGGGCCCATTGCACCGTGGGCAGGGGTGGCCACGGAGGCGGGCTCAACCCCAGGGGCACAGACAAGCCAGCCGTGGGCAGCGCCGCTGTGGC